GCGGTCCAGCGTTGTTGTGGTCAGCTGGGTGAAGGTCGAGTCCCACTGTCTCTCGAGGTCCTTCCAGTCGTCGTGGCCGGCCATGTCTTGTTGTTGCTGTGGGTCTGCGGAGGGATTGGCGACGCTCCACTCGCACGAGCCCGACGACCCGGGATCGCGGTCAAGTACGTCGCTAAAGCCAACTTCCTCCTTGACCGGAGGCACCGCGAGCGCGTCGTCGCTGCAGCCCGCGGCTGGGACCGGTCGGGGGTCGTAGGTCATGACGGAGCGACGCAGGCCGAGGTAGTACTGAGTGACGCGGTGGCGCGGGCCGCTGCGCTTGGTGCGCACGTCGGGGAAGGCGCGCTTGACCATCTTGCCCACGACGGCGCGCGTGAACAGGGCCGGTCGGCCCTCCCTGCGGCACATGTCGACGTACTCTCTGTACACGCTGCTCTTGCTCACGGCGTCCGGCTGGCCTTGTGTTGCGCCCCAATCCAGTTCGAAGGTTTGTTTCAGCCTGCAGTTGATTGGGGCCAGGTGTGTGAGCTGTCTGGTCTGTGGAAGTGAAACACCTCTGCGGGAAGGCCGTGAGCGCATACCAGAGGATGACCTGATAGCTGTGTAGCTTTCGTTCAAGCTGTGTAAGCTCAGCCATCGTGATGTGTTTGTGGGTGCGTTTGTGGGTGCGGGCGCTAGTGTTCGCTTGTGGTGCGGTCTGGAAGAAATGCAAGGGAGGGTCTCACAGCTCCTTCTTATAGCCTGAACGCCTCTGGGTCCGTTCTTGCGAAACTCTTGGCCACGACGAGCCGAGGCGCATTCCTCACCAGTTCGTTGTGAATGCCAGATGCGGTCTTGGAACGCTTGGAACGGGATCACGTTCGTGTGGAACAAAAGACACCAACTGACAACCTTAAGGTTCAAAAAAGGCAAAAAGCAGCCAGTAGGGTTGGACCGCCACTTGTGCCCGCGGACCGTGACCACTATGCGCACAATCGCAACTCAGACGTCATGATGGTGCGCAAGTTGAGGAAGATCATAATCCTGATGTCAAGTAGCTGTAGCCCAGTGTCAGGACCTACCTAACCAAGCTCTTCATCTTGACACCCGCGCCCCCAAGCCCGCAGGAACCCAACTGATTCTCAATGAAAGCTATGTTTGGCTGGCGATGGGTGCTAAAGGTGGCGGTTCGATGATGGACTCCCACCAGGCCACCAGCGAGATTCTTCTCTGATCCAGGCCGCTCGGCCCCACGTCAGCACACATCGAATCCCACGAACTCACTGTGATTGATGGTCAAGTCGCTCAGCTCGGTGTCTTCAACACAAAATGACGCGAGAATGGGGCAGATAGAGGTAGCGGGCGGAGACTTCCTTGGGATGGCCGCCTCCTCCTCGCGGTGCGCCACAGGATCGTAGTTCAACCTACGAAAGAGAAGGGAATGAGTGGTCTAACAATGTTGAGCCGACGATGACTATGACCATGGATACGACAAGGTACCAGAGGATGACTTGGCAAGAGTGGAGACGACGTTCGAATTTTGCCACGTCGGCCATGGTAAGTGACAGAGAGACGTGGTGGAGAGCTGGATGGAGCGAGAAAAGAGGAGTTGGTGGATGGCCCGAACGTGTGAGCCCCCAGTGCACGAGTCAAGCCGGAGTCCGCATGCGAACGTGGATCCGGATCAATCCATTGGATTCGTGCGCGCGAGACCTTCCGCCGTCCCCAGCACGCACGGAACACGGCCCGTTCTGGATCTTGGCATTTTTAATTACATCAATAAGAAGGCAGAGAAACAGTGCCTCAGACAGCCGGGAAGGCGAAGGCGGGGCCGACGACCTCGATGGGGTGCACCAACTTGCCCTCGCCGACGCCCACCTCGATCTAATAATAAAATAATTTTGTCGATGTCAGTTGTCAGCTTTGCCATGTGAAGCCGCGCGCGAGTGCGAGTGTGGGCGCGCACCTGGTAGATGCCGGGGTGCACGACTTTCTCCATGGCGCCGTCGGTGGCAACCGCCAGGGTGTCGGGTCCCGTGTTGAAGAAGATCTCCTTCGACTCACCTGCGAAAACCCAGGGATGAGCCACGCACTACCGCACACGCACACCACCGCACACGCACACGCACACACCACTGCACACGCACGCACACACGCACGTACGGCCCATGCGCGTGGGCCAGGGCGGGTACCGGGGTTAAGATGAACCCTCTCGAAGGCGAAGAGCTGCTTCAGCGGGCCACGATCGG